TTTTTCTCCAGGCATGGCTGCTATACCTTTACACTGGGTTAGCTCTGAGGGAAAACATTTTGAGAGTCAATGGAAGTGATATACGTCCATGGTAATTTAGTATAATTTGTGGTCTTCTTTTCCTTTTTGGGGATTTAAGCTGCAGCATCTCATTTGACTATTGGGAATTTATCTTTATTTTCACCTCTGTTAATTTCTGAGCTTGTTCATTATAATAGTTTCATTTGATCTGGACGCAGAAGAGGTATTGTTTGGTTTACCTGCTTTTATGGCAGGAATTGAATGTAGAATATCATGTGATTGGGTGTTCAACTTGAATAATATAAGTTAAGAGATGAAACAAGTGTGCTTATCAATTGGGTACATGCAGGGGCGGACCATTGTGAGGAATGTGGTTGGGTGGAAGGTCTCAGCATGCTGTATCTCGCTTGTGACTAATATAGTGCAGTTCATTCACTTATTTAAGCTATATGGAAACTATATATTGTTGTGAAGTAACTTCTCCTGTAAGGGAAATAAACTGAATTCACAGAAGATCATTTATGTTGAAATGCCAGAACATTTATGTGCCAAAATGCTTCCTTTGCTTTCTGTGATGTTTTTAGCCATGATCTGGTTTTCTGAAAATTGCTTTTGAGATTTTTTAGTTTTAGGGGTTGGGGTGGTGGAGCTGTGTAGTTAAATGTTTCCACCAGGTCTGCGTTAGGTGCTATTGGTTGAACTACTCTGCTAATGTTCAAAAGCAAAACAAAAGAAAAAAATTGCGAAAACATTGTCCAATAGGATTTTATAATTGTAATTAAATTTTGTGCTATTGAGTTTCATCCAATCATCAATGATTATTTTCTAGAGCTTCATAGTCGCTATTTTAGATTGTTTCTTCAGCTAGCCAAGTTCAAGGTCAATTGTGGTCTACTGGCTAATATGTTTCTTTTAGAGTTTGTTTGATACAGATTTCTCCAAAGGAAAATTGATTTTTTTGGAGAATATGCGGTTAAAAAGTTGGGAAAAGTAGTTGGCCTCATAGAATGTGTGATTGAATATGATTATGGGGAAAGGGATTTTAAAAGAAGTCTTTGATAAACAAGCTCTTAGTTATTAAATGAAGATGGAAAATAATCTCCAGTGTAAAGTTTCAGAAGATATATTCTCTTTTCAAATTTTTCCTTTTGTTTTTGTCATGATTCTAGAAAGGTAGTTGTATTTAATCTTTATCACATACAGGAACTGCAAAACATTTTGAATGAGTCATTATTTTGCTCTTCAGGTGGATTAAACATCACTATTGTGCTATGGCTATGGCCCTCATAAGTCTTACTTGGGAGATAGAGAGGGGGCCAGATTGTTCCCAGAAACAGGTATTTATGGGTTGCTTAACACACAAAAAAACTTATCCATCATTCCACCAACTCAAAGAATTACATGCTGTGCTTGTAGCTCTTGGTTTCCTCGTGCATTTATTATTTTTCTTGTTTTCTTCTTTCATCTTTTCAGGTAAACTGAAAACAAAATATTCACATGACAGGTTTTTTATGTATTTCTCATGACAAACAAACATACACAAGAACCTACTAACTATCAGATTTATATTCATATGCTTGCAGTCCTTTCTATTTTTCTTCTTTGATCATGTCCGGTTGATTGAAGATGAAAATGTTGATTTCAGACCGGGGTTCAGCTATTCCTTTATTGGGCAATAATGCAAGGGTTTGCCATGATTCTTCAGAATAGATATCAAAGGCAAAGACTGTATACACGTATTGCAATGGGAAAGGTACCCATGAAATCCTTGGGTTTATCCAACAAGAACTTGTGTGCTTTATCACTGATTTTTTTCTATTCCCTCGAGAAAAGTTTACCTTTTCTTCTTGTACTTCTTTTTTGGCATAATTCTGAAACAACTTCATATATTTGCATGCATCAGAGCTAAGATGCGGACATGTAAAACAATTCTATTAGACCAATTTATTCTTCTGCTTATTTTCTCTCCCCATAAGTTGTTGGGGGGGGGGGGGGGGGGGGNTCAAAAACAAAAATAAGCTAAAAAAATCAATTATATATAGGAATTGTTTGATAATAATTATGAGAATTGATTTTTTTATAGGGGAAAGGTGAATTTAAGAATTAAAATGGCAACTGATTTAAAAAAATAATAATCAAAAAATTATTTTTTTCATAAAAAATGGGACCAAACGTGCACGTATACGTGTTTATCACCGTTTTCTGGATTCTCTCCCACTCCACCTGTTTTCACATTTTCCCATATAACTCAATTTATTGTCCAGAAAACATTCAATTCAATTACAATAAAATTGTTGGATTCGATTGTGAATTCAAATAAAATTAGGCTAAATTCGGAGCTATTGATCGGCTCAACAATGGGGGACGTGCCGGAAAATCAAGATTTCGGCGACGAAGTTTCTAGACTCGTGGAGCAAGCAAAGGATTTGCAGGACTCTGCGGCGGCGCTAATTAACCGCACATCTCGAGAAGAAGAGGCGCTCCGCCACCGCGTCGCCTCACTCGACTCCCGCATCAGCTCTCTCCGCTCTTCCGTCCGGAATTCTGAGCAAGCCAACAGAGTAAGGATTTTGCATGTATTTTGTTCATGCATATGTATGGATACTAGTTATTGCTGATGTTCTCCATTTTTGTTTTTGTTCTTATGAAGTTGGAAGAGGAGTTAATTAGAGCAAAATATATATTGAGTGAAGGAGATGCAGCGGCGTTTCTTCCAATTAAATCTCATGGTGTGGTTATTATATACTTCTAATTCAGTTTATAAATTTTCTTGTCGTTTATGGACGTCGTATTTAGTTTTTAAGTAGAAATAAAGAAATTTTATTTGTGTCTGTTGTTATGTAAATGCAGGCAGGTTTCTCAGGATGTTTTTGGGTCCAATTAATGTTCGAGCTAACAGGAAGGATGTGCAGTTGAAAGTGAAAGAGGAATACAATCACTTCAGAGTACAATTAATTTTCCTTTAAGTTGTGGCTTTCTTGATAGAAGCTTTGACAGCCAAAAGATATAATCAGCTTATTAACTCGTTAGTATATTAGTTGTAACTATAATGCATGTAGCATCTCCAGTAAGACTAGGTATATAGAGTCACAAAGCATTTCAATTTTGTGATCATACAAGAACAGTAGTATTGGGGAAATATATGGACATAGTACTAGCTTTTGATTGTAGAAATTTCATTGGCTCATGTCCTTGCAGAATGATGCACTTAAGTGATGATTTCTAGGACAGGAAGCTCATTACATTAGTGGTTATCTGATTAGCTTTAGGCTGTTGATTGTTGGAATAATGAAGTTAGATGCATCTAGTCATGGATTCATTTGTAGATCTAATGCTTTTGTTGATCATTTTAAAAAAATCACGTATATGTAGAAATGTGATTTTCCTTGTTATTGACGTTGTTTATGATCTAATGACAGGATAGAACCGCATATTTATTCCTCTTTTTTCCGTCACTGCTTTTGATGTTAAGCTCGTGGATATGGGATGGATGTCTACCTGCATTGCCAGTTCAACTTTACCAGGTACTGTGCGCATAATTCTTGCCCTGGTTTATAATCTGTTGGTGGTCATGCATTCTCTGCAGAAAGTATACAAGAATCTATTTTTTATTGCTCAACTTTTT